TCTCTGCTTGTGAGACATTTCTGAGACCATGTGGTGACTACATACAGAGAAAGGAGGCTGTTTCAGTCAGTAAAAATACTGAGCATCGGAAAAATGCCAAATATCGGCCACAATAATCGGCCAAGCCAATAATCGGTCTATCCCTAAAATGGATTGCTCATCTGCTATTACATGAATTGATTGACTAAATTATGCCTGAAAATGTTAAACAGGGAGAGATCTTTTTTAAAAACAATACTTTATTGAAGAAACTTACTTCAAATATCCAAATAAACTCAAACAAAGGGGGTCAATCCGCACCAGATTGTCTCCAAACAAAGAACTCATAGACCCTCGAGAGTCCCTGTGTGGCCGTCACAAAGACGGCGCCAGATGGTGGGAGGGCCAAGGAGTGCATCATTTGCAAAAGCGAAATGCCATCTTGAACAAGAGAAGGGCATTCCTGCAGGAGGGTCAAGGCTCCGACACTTGTGCCGTGGCATTTGTGACTCAAAAACAAGCGCTCGCATTGTCAATCTGTGCGGTGTCACTCTGGAGATCCCCACCTATTTTGCATTAATTGAATGAATATTGTATGGTATTCATGCTCGGTCTGTTAGGATTGTTAGTAATCTTAATCAGAAAATCAAATTACTGCACCATTGTAGCTGTAAATTGGCTCTTTTTGCTCCTGTGACTGTTATCGGCGTCTGCAATATATTTCCCTACATCTGTTGAAATTAAAATTATTGTGGAACTAATGCAGCCACAAGAGTCAAATTACACTGCAATAATACCCTTTGGATATAGGCTAATTGAAGTTGTAATTTTCCCCTGAAAAACGAGTTGCTGTGTATTGAAAGGGTTTGATCGGNTGACGCATGGGGATGAGTTTAGGTTTAAAGCAATAATCGAATAGATGCTACACGATATTTTCTGTAGTTCTTTTTGCGTCCTTAAAGTTAACGTTACTTCACTGCAGGAGTAAATGTAAAGCATATATAGACCTTCTACTATGTCCACCTGGTGTTTCCTTTTATAAAAACAAGCAGCCAATGCATTGCTGAGCCTCAAAAACACAGACTTCCAGGGTTTCAACACACCTAAAGTATCCGTCCTGGTGGCGTCTGAGCAGAGCTGTAGGCGAGCTGGTGTGCTTGAGCTGCAGCGAGTAGCAGAGAAGCTGGTAGAAAAAAAAAGGAGAGGACTTCTGCACATTCAGGAGTAACAGTGAGTGGAGTTCTATCGAAGTCATTTTAGGGCAGGAAGGGATTATTTTCATGAATGAAACTTCTAAAAATGTCACTTTAATACATGGAGAGGAGGTTTTGTGGGTTTAAGCAGTGACCAGAGAGGGGCTATAACATTTTACTACAATTTTATATAGCAAAATGAAGATGGGAACTTTCTATTTCTTTCTTCACGTCAACAAATCCTATGAAAAGACAAAAATAACAGCCGTGGATGAACACACATCGTCCTTGTAGGTGAACCTCTGTGTCATCCAGAGTCCAGAAACTATTAAAAAACACATTAATGAGCCACATCATTGCGCTGGACGGCATTATTAAGAAGAACACTGTAGTTTATTTTGAGCCGGCACCGCATAGACTGCCTGCAGCTGTGAGTATTTATTAGACGCGTATTAATCCCCGGCTGGAAATAGTCCCTCCACTAATGCAGCGTTTACGCATGTGTGAGTGACATTTTTTTTAAAAAGCTACATCTGTTTTATTAACTTTGTGAACCTGTTTTATTTAAATTAATAGACAACAAATTAATAGACTTAAGCAAGAAAAATCTAGAACAAAGCCGAGCTGCATACCTTTTTAAAATCTGTATCCTGCAGGAAATGTTTGGCTTAAGGTGATAACTTGCAATTAGCTCTTTAGCTCTGTGTTATGGGTAACTGAGTGGGTGGAATATTGTAAAACCCACATAGGCAGGGATGCATTATTTTGTATATGATTAGCAGATTATTTGGCCGGTTGTTTCTCGCCTCGCTCTGATCTGTAAACACCAGACAGCAAACGCTTGTTTACCGGAGGATATTAGGATAAGTGCCTCTCCCCGCTTTCTCCTTCCACCGTCTTCGCCTCTTACTGTGTTTTAAAAACGTCTGCAGCACCTTTCGGATTAAGCGGTAATCACTAATGACAAATCGGCATTGACTATCTCCACCACCTGTGATGAAGTAAACATCCCCAAGTAAGCAGTCGGAGGTTTTACAGCCACGGCGGCTCCGGACTCAGCAAAAAATAATGTAATTGACACCCACCTACATAAATTGGGCCAACTCGTTTATTTATGAGAGGAAATCTGTTGCACGTTCTTACCTCAGGTTTTTTTATTTTGCATCCTCGGGGGGGTGGGGGTTGTTACGTCACACTGCAGAGGACTCGGAAACGGTCTCCCCAGGCCACATGGATGTGACAGCTCATCGCCGGCGCTCTTTTGTAGGAGCGCTACAGCCATTGTTGGGTACAAGCAATTCTCCTCAGATGGGCCAATTTGATCCTTTTGTTTGTTTGTTTTTTTGCGCCAAACCCCGGACAATTACGACACAGGAGAGGCTCTCTGACATTGAAAGTGTCAAATCAATGTTCTCTGGCGGTATATTATATGTTGCGATGGGGGAGTTCGATAAGCCAGAGAAAATGCTCCAGAAGCATTCATTTCAGAATGCTTTTCACCATGTTGTGTGCCTTTTTTTTTGTTTTTAAATCAATATTATTGCTTTCACAGCACAAAGTAACTATAATCCATCACCGCATTACTTTTGTTTAAGTCTGACTCTGTGTTAAATTGTCGTGGGTCTTTAGAGCACCACATCCTTAATTGGGATCAATATCCCAGCGTTGTATGAGTTGCAGATTTACATACGAACTGCTCCTTTACCCCTGAAAGTGCAGCCACGGTGTTGTGTTCTTCAATTTTCAACCAACACATCTGGTGTTTTGACAAGAAAAGTGCTTCTCACGTGCTTCGTACATCTCTCTCTCTGTCCTCCAGCCTTTAGATTTTGAAACAAAGAGCAGCTTTTCTCTGAGAATCGAAGCCACAAACAGGAATATCGACTCCAACTTCTTGAGCTTGGGCCCGTTCAGCGACACGACATCAGTCAAGGTGACAGTGGAAGACGTGAACGAGCCGCCGGTCTTTTCCGCGTCACTTAGCAAGATGTCTGTCTCGGAGGATGCCAAAGTGGGCACATCCATCGGGAGAGTCTCTGCCCACGACCCAGACACCTCCAACAGTGGAATCAGGTAGGGGCGGATATGGGATCGACCTTTTTTTTTTCTTTTTTCCAGGGAACCAATAGCGCAAATCCTATAACCGATACATAGAAAGACACAATATGACCACAAAGTGTAACAGAATTACCAAAAAGGGTCACAAAATGACTAGAAATAGTCCCAAAATGCCCACAAAGAGACACAAAATAACCATAAATAGATGCAACATGCCCACAAAAAGATGAAAAATGATCATGAAGAGAAGTAAAACAACTGTAAAGGGACACAACTCGTCCACAAAGAGTCACAAAATAACTACAAGGGTTGCTAAATGCCCACAAAGTGAAAAAATATGACTAGAAAGAGTCGCAACATGCCCACAAAAAGATGAAAAATGATCACAAAGAGATTCAAAACAACTAAAAGGGCAACGAAGAGCAACGAAGCAATCTCTTTGTGTACGCAACACGTACACAAAGAGATGTGAAATGAGCAAAAAGAGACTTAAAACAACTATGA